CCGCGTGTCCATCCAGCGGTGGGCTCCCCTCTAAGCCGCGGTGGCCTGGCCAGCGTCTCGGCGGCGGTGGCAGCCACTCGGTGGAGCTGGCTCAGGTGACCTGTCTTCCAATGGGGGCTTAAGCCCCGCCCGAGGCGCCCCGCGTGTCCATCCAGCGGTGGGCTCCCCTCTAAGCCGCGGTGGCCTGGCCAGCGTCTCGGCGGCGGTGGCAGCCACTCGGTGGAGCTGGCTCAGGTGACCTGTCTTCCAATGGGGGCTCGGCCTGGCCCGGTCCGACGCACCCGCTCCCTGTCCCCCGGCCAGCAGCCGGTCCGCCCGCTTCGGGGGCTCCCTTGAGCCTACCTTCCCAGGCGCCTCCTGCCTGCCGCTTCTTGGACAGGGAGGGGCGCCTCGGGCGGGGCCAAGGTAAGTGGTACGAGAGGGAAGAAGGGGCAGGACTGGCGAGCCCGACCCCTCCCGCCTGCTAGGCGGCTCCCACCTCTCCCGAGTCCCCGAGCTGTCCGCCTTGCCACTCCTCTCCCGCCCAGCAGCTCCAGAAAGCAAGGAGGCGGCCAGCTGGGAGGTTTCCAGGCCCCACCGGGAGGTTGGCATCTGCACCTCGCCTAGGGCGCAGAAACACCTTGGGCCGGCCCTGTCTAGACCAGTACTGTCTACCCCGACTGGCAGTGGATCTGTGAGATACCAGGCTGAAAAAGGTCTCTCCCCCTCCGATACCTGCTGCTTGAGACCCTTTCAAGCTCCAGATGCCAGAGCCTGAAGATCAGTGCCCGCCGTAAACATACTTGGCAACAAGAAACACTCCCTCCTTAAAAAGGTGGCGGCAGGAAGAAGAGGAGTCCTTCCACCTGCATTCATCCCTTCATCCAGCATCATAACTTAAGTTTCGTTCTCGGCAAACTTGTCAAAATGTATCTGCACGGAAGGGAGGCGTTTTCTGCCCAGCTCGGCACAATCCTTAACAAACAGGCCTCCGGCGAGCAACGAGAGTGCCGCCTGAAGGTATGCAGAGCCCTGCACACGGGTGGTCCCTGCGCCTTGCCAGCATCTGCTCAGACAGGAAACGGAGCTCGCCCCTGCGTGCCAGCAGCACGGCTGCCCGGGAACCTACTTTCCTTCTGGCTGGAAAGGCAAAACTCTCAGCCGTCGCCTGCAACCATGTGTCAGGTTGTTAACTTGAATCAGACAATCCTATCGCGGGTCTGGAAATTACCGGGGAGGGTGTCTGCTTAGTGGCAGAGAACACGCTCGGAACACACAAGGTTCCAGGCACGATTTCGGCCCCAGCGTGGCCCAAGCAGCTGGGAGAGACCCCCAGGCTGAGACCCTCCTAGAGAACCGCTGCCATCTGCAGCAGACGACATGGAGCTGCGCAAGAGCTGGGAGACGACCCAAACGCAAGGAAGCGTCATCTGTTAGTCTAACCCCACCTGCAGCCACGCTTTCATTTCTGCATCCTGAGAACGGAAGGAGTGTGTTGTCGGGATACCCCCTAGTCACATACTTACCTTGAGCTTTTTTTTCAAGAAGGGCAGGACATAAATGTTGGCAAGGAAGATACAACATGAAGTTTAACTTTTGGCGAATTGTGGGGCTCAAAGCTTTGCCTCCGGAGTGCCTGGAGGCCCGGCTCAAGCCAAAGACATTTAGATGCCCTTTGTTTATCTACACAGGAACAAGAAGCCCTCTTTTACTGAGTCAAAAGACTGGTTTACCAAGGTCAGTAGGGCCTACTCTGACTGGCAATGGCTCTCCAGCGTTTCAGAAAGAGGTCTTTACCATCGCTTGCTACCTGATTCCTTGAACTGGAGACAGTGCGGGTTGAACCTGGGACACTTCACATACAAGACGGATGCTCCACCACCAAAAAAGATACTGTTTACACTTTACTTTGCACTTTGCCATCGACCACTGAGCCAGCATCTCTGATTTCAAGCCCTCATGGTAGTAGAGCCAGTGTAGTGCAGCGGTTAGAGTGTCACTCTATATCTGGGAGACCCAGGTTCGGATCCCCACTCTGCCATGGAAGCTCGCTGGTGACCCTGGGCCAGTCACACACCCTCAGCCTGACCTACCTCACGGGGATGTTTCAAGTTTAAAATGGAGGAGAGAAGAACAACATAAATGGCCTTGGCAGAGGTCATTTCGGGGGGGATTGCGGGGGATCGCAGTTCCCCCGAGTGAGGTACGGGGGGCGGGGCACATGACGAAGCCTCGCCCCCTGCTTCTGGCCGCCTCGCTTCCGGCCCTCATTCAGCCAGGAGGAGACAGGAGAAGAGGGAGGGTAAGTTGCTTCCTCCCTGCCTCTCCCCACCCCTGCCTGCCTGGGGCCAGGAAGGGCCTTTGCGGGGCTTCCTTGCACTCCCGCCGGCCTTGCATGGGGCTCGGTGTGTGGCCTTATGACACAATTCCGGTGATGTCAGGGGGTGTGGCCTTATGACACACTTCCGGTGATGTCAGGGGGTGTGGCATATGCTAATGCTAATGAGTTCCCCTAGCTCTTTTTCTACGAAACGACCCCTGGGCCTTGGGGTATAAATATTAAATGAAGTAAATAACTAAATACATAATGTGTGGCAATCCAACTAATAAATAACAAGATACAAATAACAAAAAGAAACATGCATATATATATATATTAATCCCTTTTAGAAAAGACTAAAGAACAGAAGCACCGGTTTATCAAATGCCCAGGAAAATAAAATAGTTCTGACTCCGTGCTCAAGTTGGTACCACATGGATATTTCCGGGGGAGGAATTCTGCAGCTGGGGTGCCCCCAGAGAAAAGGCCCCGTCCTGGGTTGCTAGTTCCCTAAATTCTGAAGGCAGGGGCAGCCAGAGCTGGGCTTCAGAGGGTGATATTGTGGAGCAGGCAGATTTACATGGGAGGCAGCTGCTCTAAAAGTACTCCAGGTTGAAGCAGGCAGATGACTAGGGACCTGATTAGATATTCATGTACTCCCACTGTCCCTGTTTAACCACAGGGGGGAGGGGGGGCTATTTCTCTATTAAACTTTATTTTGTCCTTCCTCCAAGAAACTGTGTGGTCTTCCCCTCCCCCATTTTATCTTCACAACCACCTCATGAGGTAGGCTAGTTTGAGAGACAGCGCCTGATATACCTGACCAATGTTCCCTCTAAGCTGTGGAGTCCTATGAGCAAAAATTCTACTTTGTGAGCTCCTGACATTAAAGATGTGAGCAAGTGATTTGGTTACTGCATAAATTAGCTTGCTCTGGAGCCGTCCTTCCTGAGCTAAGACAAAAATGTACGAGCTGGAGGCTAAAAAACTGTGAGCTGGCTCACACTGACTCAGCTTAGAGGGAACAGTGCACCTGACAACTTTCATGACTAAACGACAATTTGAGCTTAACTCTCTCCGGTCTTAGACTCTCTCCATTATACTGTGCTGCCTCTCATGTGGCTTGCCTGTTCTTTATAAATCACCATCCCTATATTATCCCTTTCTGTGAGTTGACAGGATTCGGCTCCTGGGGCTGCTGGCACTGTGGTTTCCCTAACAGTGGAGGCTGGACCCTATGGAAAAGAAGAAGAGGAGGAGGCTGCATTTATACCCTGCCCTTCAGTACCCGAAGGAGTCTCAGAGCGGCTTACAATCTCCTTTCCCTTCCCCTCCCCACAACAGACACCCTGTGAGGTGGGTGGGGCTGAGAGAGCTCTGAGAGAACGGCTCCTGAGAGAACAGCTCTGAAATAACTTATGACTGACCCAAGGTCATCCAGCTGGCTGCATGTGGAGGAGTGGGGAATCAAACCCAGTTCTCCCAGATTAGAGCCCGTGCTCCTAACCACTACACCAAACTGGCTCCAGGCATGTAAAGTGGGTGCCTACTTTGGCCAGTTTCCCTCTCCTGCAGACCACCTGAGGGTCCCTCATCCCCCAAGAGCCGCACCCAGCACCCTCTGTCAGAATTCCCAAGGTGCCCAATAGGCACAAAAAGTTTGGGGATTCCCTGCTCTAGAAATTTTCAGAGGTGAGCCATGTTGGTCTAACAGTTAGATCTGAGTCCAATAATAGAGCCACAGAGACCAAGAAGAGCCTTGAAAAGCTTCCTCTCCAAAGGCTACATCTTCAATCTGTTGTTGGTCTCTAAGATGCTACTGGACTCAAATCTACCTGCTGTATGAAAGATCAGGATAGTGTACACCCTTCTTCCATTTCTTCTTCTTCACAACAACCCTGTGAGGTGGGGGGAGGGGGGAGAGGCAGACAGACAGACAGAAAGACAGAGAGAACAAACGTAGCCCAAGGTCCCTCAGTTAAACCCAGGTCCTACCCCATACCCCATCCTCTAACCACTACTCCACACTGGCTTTCTAGCTTTGCATCCAATGAACTCGAGTTTATATATAAAATAGGAAAAAAGGAACATTTACTGCTTCTGTTAGTATCTGCTGCTGCTGCTGCTGTTGCTGCTGATGCTGCAGGAGGAGCTGTTGTTTCAGTTGCTGATTCAACAATGCCTGCTGAGGTGAGTTCATGAAACTGCTTCCAGTGTTTGGATTGGAGCAAGTACCCGATCCTGGACTAGGCTCTGCGCTTTGGCCTACGACGGAGTGCTGATCCTGAAAAAGATGAGCGGGGGGGAATAAAAAGCCTGGCAAAGATGCACGAGTACAAAGATCAGAAAACAAACCCATCTTTTCAGTCACCTGAAGTTCTATGGAAATTTAGGATATCTCACCTGCACCAGTGATTTGCATTTATTCTAATGGAGGGGGGTAAGAAGTAAAGCGGGTAATGTAGCTAAACCAGTGCCTACTGGTGGAAGAAGCAAGTGAAGACTATTCTGGGAAAAGGCCAGGGCTACCTGGTGGGAAACCCTGATATTTTGAGAAGGGATTAGATTTATACCCCGCGAAGAGATTAGATTTATACCCCACCCTTCACTCAGAGTCTCAGAGCGGCTTACACTCTCCTTTCCCTTCCCCTCCCCACAACAGACACCCTGTGAGGTCGGTGGGGCTGAGAGAGCTCTTTTGAGAACTGCTCTTGGAAGAACAGCTCTGAGAGAACTTGTGACTGACCCAAGGTCACACCAGAAGCTGCACGTGGAGGAGCGGGGAATCAAACCCAGTTCTCTCAGATTAGACTTCACACTCCTAACCACTACACCAAACTGGCTCTCTAAGTGGGGCTTGAAAGGGAATGTCCACCTAGGCTGGGTACGAGAGCTCTGGTCAAATGGGCTTTGCAAGAACTGGACAAATGCTTCAAGGATATGGAACATACAAACCTATTTCATACCAAGTCATCTAGTTCAGTACTGTCTACTCTGACTGGCAGGGGCTCACAAGCAGAGAAGGGGCTTCTCTGAATCTGCCACCACAGATCCTTTAACTGGAGATGCCAGGGACAGACCTTGGCCTCACTGGCGGACCTCCTGATGGCACCTGGGTTTTGGCCACTGTGTGACACAGAGTGTTGGAATGGACGGGCCACATTGGCCTGATCAAACATGGCTCCTCTGATGTTCTTATGGTCCTAATCATCAATCCGCAAGGCATGGGCTCTACTGCAGAGCCCCAGGTTATTTGGCAACCAAAGTCATTGGTGCCTAGGACTACGCTCTGGAAGACCCAGGTTCGAATCCCCACTCTACCATGGAAGCTCCCTGGGTGACCTTGAGTGCGTTACTCTATCAGCCTAATCTACCCCACAGGACTGTTGTTAGGATAAAATGGAGAAGAGGAAAACAATGTAAGCCACTTTGGGTCCCCATTGGGGAGAAAAATGGCACAAATTAAGTGAATAAAAACAAATTCGTGATCCAACTCCAGCCCTCTAACCACTGCACCATTCTGGCTGTTACACAACATGTGTGTGTGTGTGTGTGTACACAGAGAGTGCCAGCATCCCATCCCATTCTCCAAAATCCCTTCTGACTTCCGTGTGTAACTAAGGATGCACCTGGATGTGATGTCATGCCTGGATTGAATCGGGGGACAGGGCTGCGATTTAAGTGCCTAACAGGGGAGATTCTAAAAAGTCGCAAAGGCCAGATCCTGACCGGGCCTGCAGCGCAGTGGGGCCCAAGGACTCCCCCTCCCCCCACCTTTTCAAAGGCCGAAATGCACCTGGCAGCTGTTTCCGCTCTTGAAAAGGTAATGGGGAGCGCAAGCGTGCCTGATCCCACCATGTTGCCAGCCTGATCGGGATCAGCCTCCTGCAGGTTTTTTAAAACCACCTGTTAGAAACTAAAATAGCAGGTCCAATCCGGGGACACTGTCAAATCTGGTTGTGCCCTAAAAAAACCAAACAAAACAGAGTTCAAGATTCCGTTGCTGGAAGGAACTTGATTTTCAGTGGTTAAGACCAGTGTTCCCTCTAAGCTGAGTTAGTGTGAGCTAGCTCACACTTTTTTAGCCTCCGGCTCACACATTTTTGTCTTAGCTCAGGAAGGATTGCTCCAGAGCAAACTAATTTATGCAGTAGCCAAATCGCTTGCTCACAGCTTTAATGCCAGTAGCTCACAAGGTAGAATGTTTGCTCACAAGACTCCACAGCTTAGAGGGAACATTGGTTAAGACCACCAGTGTAGCAGTCCTAATAGCCTGGGCTAGCCTGATTCTCACGAGAGCTCGGGAAGCTAAGCAGGGTCAGTACTTGGATGGGAAACCGCCAAGGACGACTGGGGCTGTTATGTAGAGGAAGACAACGGCAAACCATGGAGGCTCATCTCTTGCCTTGAAAGCCCCAAGAGGTGGAATTTCATGGGGTTGCTCGGGGTCAGTTGTGACTCAATGGCACGCTTTACCCTTTAGGATTACCAGCGGGAGAGAACATGTTCTGAGCCTCTGTCTCAGAGCAACCCCCAACTGCATTCCTTTATTTTTTCCCCTTGCACGTGAGATGGTCATTCATTTCAAGGGGGGAGGGGTAGCAAAACACAGCATTACAGGACACTGTCGTCAGCTCAAGCATCATCTTTCGCAAATGGGTTTCCCAGTCCAGATGAACCAAAACAGTTGTGAATAACTGCTACAGGCAAAAGAAAAAAGAAAAAAGGCAATATCCAAAGATACAGCCAAAGAAGCGGAGAGCTGAGGGACTGACACGGAGATTATTTTAGACTGCAAAATAAGAAAGCCCCGTTGACTGAGATTTTCAGCAGGCCGGAGTTCCTCTGAAAGTTTTTAGAAAGTTGTGTTACAATTGACTGACTCTGCATCCCATGTTCAAGTGACATTCTGGCTTCAATACAGGCCTTTTACCATCCAACAATGGGACTAATTTGATTTCCCTTTGTGTGAACAGTCCAGATGTCCCCTGACTCACTTCTGCACGGTTAAAACCCTTTTTCTCTTGTTCAGAAAATACGGAGCCACACTCTTGTTTTCCATGCATATTGGATAACATCCAAACTTGACACCTACCGCGTGACTTTTCATCCTTCCCTAACTATGTGAATGAACAAAAAAAATGAATGGCACCACACCCATTTTGCAAGTGGAGGATGTTGAACGTGTGTTCTTTCGTCTTTTCAAAATCCCCCTCCCCTATATTTTCTGTTCCTGAAATGGATATTTCAAGACAAACAAGAACTGCTTACGTTTCAAAATCTAATTGAATGCATTTTAAACGTCGGTAACAAATCTGAATACCATGAAGCAAGGTAATTTCTACTCTTTGCTGCACTGCTTGATCACACCTGTCTAGAGATGATTATGGCCTGCCAGATATGACCCTAAAACCAATTTTATCTGTCCCCAGGGTAAAACCAATTTTAAAACCCAGATAAAACCAATTTTATCTGGCCTGAGTCAGATGGTATCGCTTTACTCTGCTCTGTTTAGACCTCACCAAATGAGAAGGGAGCACTCACTGGAGAAGACCCTGATGCTGGGAAAGATTGAAGGTCAAAGAAGACGGGGACGGCAAAGGATGAGATGGTTAGACAATGTAGTCCTGTGAGGAAAGGCTGAAGGAGCTGGTTATGTTTAGCCTGGAGAGGAGACGACTGAGAGGTGATAGGATAACCAAATACTTGAAGGGCTGTTACAGAGAGGATGGTGTGGAATTTTTTTCTGTTGCCCCAGAAGGTAGGACCAGAACCAACAGGTTGAAATTAAATCAGAAGAGTTTTTGGCTAAACATTAGGAAGAGCTTCCTGAGTTAGAGCCGTTCCTCAGTGAAACAGGCTTCCTCGGGAGGTGGTGGGCTTCTTTGGAGGTTTTCAAACAGAGGCTCGATGGCCATCTGACAGCAATGCTGATTGTATGAACCTAGGCAGATCCCGAGAGGGAGGGCAGGAAGGGGTGCCTCAGTGCTAAGTTCTTGTAGCCCTTTCTTACACATCCAGGGAAATGCCGGTCGCTACTTTGGGATCAGGAAGCAATTTTCTCCAGGCCAGTTTGGCCAGGAATCCTGGGTTTGTGGGCATGGAGCAGGGGGTCACTGTATGTGTGTGTGTGTGAGGACGTATTTGTGTGTTTCCTGCATCGTAAGGTGGTAAGTGAAGCCTGCATTACATCTGGCTGAGCAGCTTTGGCTATTCGAGCCCCACCACGGCCAGAGTGAGCTCCCGGCCCTATGTCCTAGCTACCGCCCACCCAGCGGCTCGAAAGCCCGTTAAAGGGCAAATAGACAAATTGGGTACCTGCTCTTAGAGCGGGGGGGGGACCCATCCCTTGTGGTGTAGCGGCAGCAGCAGCGGCGTGAGCGAGCGAGCGATGAGCGGTGGAGAAGCATGGCGGTGGCTGGCGAGCGAGAGGAGATCCCCTTCCAGCTCTATGATTCTATCTACCGCCAGATTTTTTTTTAAGATCCTTTGAGACTAGGGGGATCCCCCACCCATCTGTCTTCCTCCTTGATTCTATCTACCGCCAGATGGCAGGCCTGTACTGCCTGCCCCCTCTTCCTCTAGACAGCCACACATACAAGTCGGGGAGGAAGGAGTGTTAAGAAAACAGGGAATCTTTGAATGACAGCGGTGGTGAGGTTGCAAAAGTTGGTTGGTAGCATCCCTCATTTCAGTCTAACAGTAGAAGCCGGTAAGGATTCAGTGCTGTTCGATTTCTAAAAAAGGATAGTTCACAACCCCGGTCAACTCTGGGCACTGCAAAACCCACGCTTCTTTGCAGAGATGGACTGGTCAAATTACTTTCAGCTCCAACCTGAGTAGTCCAGGCTAGCCTGATACCATCAGATCGCAAAAGCTAAGCAGGGTCGGCCCTGGTTAGTACCGGGATGGGAGACCTTCAAAGAATACCAGGGTCATGTCATGGAGGCAGGCAATGGCCAACCACCTTTGTTTATCTCTTGTTGGAGCTTATGTGTATATTCTTACCTCCACAAATTAGCAATTTTGTGCCAACTAAGCTTATGCCTATTTATCGAAGTGGTGACAGCAAAGTGATCTCTCTCAACAGTTACAAACACCTGTCTGTAGAACAAAATAGCTACATTTTTGTGTGAAATGATCTACTGTATATAATTCTACAAAGTTTCCCTCATTCCTGTTGCCTTTTGACTTGCCAAGTGTAAAACTGAAACCTGAGTCTGACTTGACCATTTCCCCATAAGAGTGAAATAAAACAGTTTATGTGTTGTGAATTCATATCAG